GGGAATTAATTAATTAATTTTTTTAATTGAGAAATAAAGTACAAAGCAGTTCTGAGTATTTATGACCATAATTTATGCTTGTCATGTCGTTACTTATGTTAAACAAATTTAAATTACTTACATTTGTTCGTGATCCCAAATATTTCCAATTATTGATTAAAAAGGTTATACAGCTTATATTTTTTCCTTTTAAATCATATTGTGTATTTTAAAAATAGTTTTTTGAAAAAAAATAACAACGATAGGCCGATACAGCGATGAAGGATATTTCATGCTGCATCCATCACCAGTGAAGGGGAGTTAAAGACATTTGGTTGGTGTGACTAGAATAAAAACTATACTTGGCATTGAAAATCTTGCTTAATTAAAAAAAAAAATTTTTTCGAAATTCAATTCTTTTGGCGTGTCCAACGTGCCATAATTTTTCAGTAACAAACAGTAACCAACATTTTTAAAACACTTTCAATTTAGCGAAAATCACACCTTTTTTAATTGATTATATATATCATTTCCAAAATTGTTAATATTATTATTTATTAAAAAAAAGTAAAAAAGTATTCCTTTTCTATAAAAATAGCAATATTGGAAATGTTTCTTGTTTTTTAATGTCGTCGATTACGTTTCCTACTGTTCATCATACATTTTTTTTCAGTTATTTGTGATGAGGCGCAAAGAATGTATAATAATAATAATATGATATGTATATATATATATATATAGAAAGATTATTTGTCATGTAGAATTCATCTAAGTTCTACCATCTTTTAAATTAAATTAAAAAAAATCAAATATAAAATATAATTTCTACTCACTAGTAAAATTATTTAATTTATAAATTATTTAATAAAGTGAGTAAGTTTGATATCATACCTTTTTCCTGTTCTACCACCTTTAAAATTTTCATCATGATATTCCATGCTATTATGTTGATCAATAGAATTTCCTGAAATAAAATCGATATTATCTGCCCCCTTTGGGTTTGATTTAACTTCTTTCTTTAATCTTTCCACTTCTTTTTCATATTCTTCCTTCTTTTTCATATTTTCTGTAGCGTCATCACGAATTTTAATGATTTTTGCATCAATTGATTTTAGAATTTCTTCGGATGTTTGAGACCTTTAAAACATGGTTATATATAATAAATAAATATATATAGGTATATATATATATATATATGCAAGTGCATGTGTTTGTTCGCATTAAAACAAGTGTTTGTGAATAATTACCAGGCACTTAAAACTTGTAACATTTGATCTATTTGCCCTGGACGTAAATCTCTTCCCATTGTATACTCAACCTCAAGTTGCTTTCTTTTCTGATCTAATTTACCTTTAATAACATCTTGATATATTGCATCGATAATCAAATCCTCGAGTTCTCGAACATTAGGTATATCAAAGTATTTTAATAATGTATCATATGGAATTGTCTATTGTAAACAATTGAAAGTTTGTTAATCGTATTTTTATAAATTCGCAACATTAATAAACGTATAATTACTAACTCGTGCTTCTTCGGATAAAGAGACAATTGACAAATGTTTAAGTTTGTTTAATTGCGCATCATCCAATGGTGGTAATGTTTCAACATTATCTAATAATATATGAAATTCCAAATTTAATTAAGATATTATTTCTTCTTTAATAATATGTATATATATATGTATACATTGCTTTTACCTTTGTAATCTTTATAAGTTCCATATGAGAAAAGCCTTAACAATGTGTGGTAGGATTGGTATTGTTCACTGTTTCGAAGCTGTTAAAATATAAACAGGAAAGTCTGTTAAATTTATTGTGAAATCCAGTTGCCTAAAACCAAAAGAATTTATTTCGTGGAAAGTTATTTGGTCCACCAATAAATTTCTCTTCCCCAAGTTTGTGATGATTTTTTTTTAACCTAATTAGTTATTAACTAGTATGTTTTCAAGAAAATGTTATGCAAGATACTGTTGCTGACAAACCTGTCACTGGTCATTTGTTTGAATTTACTTCTCAATTGATGGTGGATTCTGAATTTAACATCAAAGGTCAAGATAAAAATATTCCACCAGTTCAAATTTTATTTTGTCTAAAAGAGAAAAACGCAAAGAAATTGAATTCTCATCGTTGGTTCTTTAATGCATTTGCTGCTCAATTGAATCCAAAAGTTTGTATTCTGTTGGATGTTGGCACCAAACCTTCTAGCACTTCGCTTTATCATTTATGGAAAGCATTTGACAGAGATCCTATGATTGGAGGCGCTTGTGGGGAAATTAAAGCCGAACTTGGCAAAAATTGGATTAATCTTATCAATCCTTTGATTGCATCACAAAATTTTGAATATAAAATGTCAAATATTTTGGATAAACCTTTGGAGTCGATATTTGGTTATATTTCAGTGTTACCTGGTGCCTTTTCAGCCTATAGATACAAAGCATTAGTAAATACCGCTCCTGGTAAAGGTCCATTAGCCTCTTACTTTAAAGGCGAGACTTTGCATGGAGAAGGTGAAGCTGGTATATTCGAAGCCAATATGTATTTGGCCGAGGATCGTATTTTATGCTTTGAACTTGTGGCAAAGAAAAAAGAATCATGGAAATTAAAATATGTCAAGGTATTATTATTTAAAAATTAAACAGCTCGTTATTTGTTATTTACTATTTAAATTAATGCATTTTATTTTTTAGTCTGCAAAAGCTGAAACCGATGTACCAGATAATGTATCAGAATTTATTTCACAACGTCGTCGTTGGTTAAATGGTTCATTCTTTGCGGCATTTTATTCTGTTGCACATTTTGGTCGTATCTGGACTTCTGGTCAACCAATCTACAGAAAATTCTTGTTACAAATTGAATTTATTTATAATGCCATCAATCTGATTTTCAATTGGTTTGCCTTGGTATGTATTTTTGAATACTTTAAATACCTATGTATCTATTTAATCGTATAAAAGTAAATATATCAATATAATATTTTTTTTTTTTTTAAAAGGGTAATTTCTATCTTGCGTTCTTCTTTTTAACATCAGCAACAACAGGAAATCCTAAATTTGATCCATTCAGAGGTTATGGTGACGAATTGTTTGGCCTGGTTAGATCAATATATATTATGGTTATTGTTACGATATTTATTTGTTCAATGGGTAATAGACCACAGGGTTCAAAGATGATCTATTTACTTTGTATCATTTTATTTGCAATCATAATGGCCACCATGCTTTATTGCGCAGGTTATACAGTTTATCTAAGTTTGTTAGAACCAAAAGATGCTATTGATTTCAAAAGTTTCACTAGTATAAAAAATGCTCTTAAAACTGCTGAATTTCGTGACATAGTGATATCATTGGCATCAACCTATGGTCTTTATTTCATTTCATCTATCCTTCACGGAGAACCATGGCATATGTTCACATGTTTACTCCAATACACATTATTAATACCTTTCTACGTAAACATTTTAATGGTATATGCGTTCTGCAATACACATGATGTCTCTTGGGGTACAAAAGGTGATAATGGTGGTGGAAATGGCGCAAATGCAACAATCGTAGCTGGTAAAGATGGTAAGAAGTTGATGCAAGTAGAAGTGCCACACGAACGCGAAGATATTAATGCAAATTATGATAGTTTAGTCAAAGATTTAAGAGTCAAAGTCAAAGAAGTAAAACAAAGGAGAGATGCTGCAACAAAAAAAGAAGATTATTATAAATTATTTAGAACTAATTTGGTTTTGTCTTGGATGTTTTCCAATGCTTTCCTAGTGGTCTTTTTCACATCAGCTACTTGGAATAATTATATTAGGGATAAATCTAATGCAAATGTAAGTTATAATCCTTACTTGACAGGTATATTTTGGTCTGTTGCTGGTTTATCAGCTTTTAGAGCTTTTGGCTGTGTTTGGTATTTGCTATTACGATTAATATATGGATAATATATACATAAATAAAAAAAATGAAGAAAAAAAAAAAGATAAATTTCAAAATTACTTAACATAAATTCTTCACAATAATTAATTCTACTTCAAAACCATCCGTAAATTACATCTTTTCTTGCATTATTTGCTAACAATATATAGAAAATTCATTTATTTATTCCATTATAGTTTTATTAATAAAATCATTAATGTAGATTCTTTTTAAAATTAACATAATAAAAAATTAATATTAAAATTAATCCATTATTATCATTAATTATTATATCTGTTATTGATTTAAATACGAATGAATATACAATAGAAGATTATAAAATATTCCCTTCTCAGCTTGGTTGAATTATTAATTATATTTTAAATACAAATGTGTGTAAATGCATGTTTGTGTGTTTTATATATAAGTTATCGATTGAATATAATATAAATATAAATGATTAATTAACGTTAGATAAATAAATAAATATAATTATTATAAATAAAATAAAAAATTGATTGAAAATAAAATAATAATAATGATAATAATAATAATAATTAGAAGGTTGTGCTGATCGAATCAATCAATGGAATATCAGATTCATCTATTCCCAATACTTCAATTAAATTTATTGAAGAATCTTCAGAATTTGAAAGAGGCGGGAGATAAATTGATTTTAGTGAAGCTGTTTGTGGACCATTATGGATATAAGGCATATTCTTATTATTGTTTGTGGTTGTGTTAGTTGTATTAGTGACACTAGCCGAAGATGCATTATTATATGTGGTTCTTAACAATTTTTTATATAGTATTGCTTTATAATAAAGTGTTCTCAATGTATCCTCTAGGTATTCAAGGCACTATTAATTAAATTATATTAATAAAACCCTATATTTAGAGAAAATTTTTAAAAAAGAAAAAAATTAAAATAATAAAACACTTGCAGATTCTGCTGACATTCCTGAAACAGTGAATAAATCTTTACATTGATGTAACATATTGTAAACATATTTTGAATAATGTTGCTGCTGAATAAATCCCTCACTGTTTCTGAATTCACTTCCTTCAAATGTCACAGAATCATCATCAACAGCATGACGAGCACTATACAAATCATAACCTCTAGTTGTACACATGCTATTTGATCATAGATTTTTTTTTAAAAAAAAAAAGAGAAAAAGAGATACGAAAGAGCAATATCCATGTAAATAGTATATTAATAATAATAATATAACAATCAAATTAGACCATCTTATTATCAATAAAAATAGCAAGTCAAACTTTTCCTTTTCCTTACAAATTAGATAATTGTCCTAATATACAAATAGTTTTAGTAACTGTAAACTGTAAGGAAAATTGCTAATAAATAGGAATAAAAATTTTTTGTTATCAATTAAAATTAAATTAAGAAATACTAAATAAATATCAAAAATTTATTTTGCTCTTTTACCTGTAAAGAGTCTTTCAGATCTGTTTCTAACAATAATAAATCTTGATCATCAAGGTTAGGTATACCCATTAATACAAAGTCTGACATATAATTCTTACAATGTCCGACCATCAATGATCTACCATAGGATTTGACAAATAATCGATCTGCACGATACAATAACTTTGTATCATCATCATCTTCAGTTTTTGTAGTATCTAATTTTGTATCTGGTATGGTGAATTTATTTGCTGACCTGAATTAATGATAACAGTTAAAATCATACAACTAATTAAAGTTTATTCTTTAAAAAAAAACACATATATAGATGCATACTTTGGTATTGGCACATCCATAAAATTTTCTATAGAAAGGTCTGATATGGAGCCATCAATTATCAACCTTTTTTGCTTATTATTATCACCATCACCATCAGATGAATAATGATTATTATTTGAATATAAATCTGTTTCTTGAATTGATTTATTAAAAATATTATAATTATATAATTATATTTTCTCCATTAATATTAATATCATTAGTATTAGTATATTAAATTTCTTTCTATATTACCACCATTATTCATCATATCTTTTTTTGAAAATTTTGCTTCATTCATAATATCTAATAAATATTTAATTGTTGTTTTTCAATCAATTAGAACCAATTCATTATATGAAACACCAAGTAAAAAAAGCCATATTTATTTAATGAGAAAATTTACTCACCAATCATGGATTTTTTTTGTCCATTGAAGTTAGAATCAAACGGAATCATTTGTTCCTTATTCTCATATACTTCATTACATCGAATAAAATAACTAAGTATAAAAATAATGCGTCTAACCATGTTTACATCTTTTCCAATTATGATTGTTCGACTTAATGTTGGTGTCCCCAAATTACCATACAAATCTCTACACATAATATGATAAATAGTTAAAAACAAATTAATTTTATTATTATAATCATTCATTTGCAAAAAGGTAAAAATTTCCGGAAAAAACTGGTAATTTTGTACGCTACTTGTCACGTTTACATTTTCTCCCACGAGTATCATTGTGCTGATTACCTGCACCGCGTAATGCACTAGTAAAAACGTGTGGACGTCGTGGATGCGTCAAGCAAAATTTTGGTCCCTCAAAAACCTTTAGATGTGTGCCTCTTGCGATTCCGTAGTATACTTTTAAAGTATATTACAGGAACACAACAAGAGTCACCCGCGACGTCGATGTTTACACTCGAGACACCTTATTGTGGACTTCTAAATACGACTAGCACTTTGAAATTAATACTCGAGCTAAATACTTATATATATAATCATTTTGGACGTCAAATAAAAAAATATCTTATCAAAGAGTTTTTTAAGCGTGTTGATTGCGAATTACTTCTTTACACATTAAATTATACAATCTTGTTCGTTTTACTTTGATTGATTGTTTGCTTGCTTTAGGGTTTAAAGTTTGCTTTTGGCAGTTTTTACATCAATATAATATGATTCACTCGCATAATTCGTAAAATACTAATTCGTTCCAACCACTCGGTAATAATAATAAGATATTATAGTTTGTAAAGTCAATTGTTTATCATAAGATCATCAACAACAAAAAATAATAGACGGAACTATCTTGGATCTTATGATTCGTTTTCAACCATAGATAATTGGGTTACGGAAGATTTACAATCATCTTTAAAACAACAAATGACTATGGATTCAGTTATCTGTGGAATACTTATGGAGAAAGCGACTCTCTTCATTTCACATCATCAAAGTAAAAAAGAAAAATATTGACTTAATATAGAAAATAATGTTCTATGTTGATCTGAATGGGAGATAGATAAATGGTCACACTGCTAATCAGAGGAGGTTTTAATTATTTAAATATAAAAAGGATTATAGTAACTATATTATCATTATCGATGAAACAATTAAATGTTTGAAAGAATGCTTACTATTTATATAAGAATTGATTTACAAATAGGGGTAGTATTAGAATTAGTATTAGTATTAATATATTAATATTAATATGTCCGGAATCCGGAATGCTCGCAGGCTAATCAAATATTAATATGAAAAAAATTATTGTAATTAATATTAACAAATTTGTAGTCACTGGAAAAATTCGAGGTAACACGCGCCAGAACATCAAGGAATAATTACACTATAAATAGAAAATTTATATTATTAATATAAAATCATACACAATACACAAATAAATGGGTTCTTAAAATATCCGACCGATTATTTCATTATTATTATTATTATTATTATTATTACTTTAATATTAATAGTTTAGTGTAGATAGATTTTCCTTTATTATTTTTTTTTTCACATTTTAACGAATCGATCAAAAAGAAGTATGTTTGATCGGTGTAAACATAAATCACCACTACTTCCACGTCAAGTGTTTGTAAATGAGCAAATACCTTCAAATAATCTCGACAAAAATGGAAGGCCAAAACAATATGTTAGCAATAAAGTAAAAACTTCAAAATATACAGTATTCACATTTATACCAAAAAATTTATATGAACAATTTCGTAGAATTGCCAATTTTTTCTTTTTGACACTTGTGATTCTACAATGGTTTCCTGAATTTGCAACTATTTCACCTGTGGTAGCTGCTTTGCCAATGTTTATAATAACGGGCATAACAGCTATCAAAGATGGTTTTGAAGATTTTAAAAGACATGTTACTGATAGATCTGTAAATAATAGAAAAACATGGACATTAGGGAATTGGATAAATGTAAATTATCCTTATTCTGATTCTGATTCAAATTCAAATTCAATTATTGAATGGATAAAAAAAAAAAATTCTAAATATATACCAAACACAAATAATAAAATAAAAGATCCTGAATGGAAACAAACAATGTTTAAAAATGTTCGCGTAGGTGATTTTATCAAATTATTTAACGATGATTTCATTCCAGCTGGTAAGAAATTTTTTTGATTTTTTTATAAACTTTTAATTCATGATGATTTAATATAATATAATTTACCAATTAATTTAGACATAATAATTCTTTCAACTTCTGAACCTAATTCATTATGTTATGTGGAAACAAAAAATCTTGACGGAGAAACTAATCTTAAGATTCGACAAAGTGCGCCGAAAACAAGCCATTTAAAAGACCCGATAGATTGTACTTCAATAAAATTTTATGTAGATTCTGAACCTCCAACAACTGATTTATTTAGTTATAATGCAGCTTTGGTATTTCCAGATGATTTATCCGGTAATTCTTCATCCAATATCAACACTATAACAGATTCTACACCACGAAAAGACCCAATAAATTTGAATTCAATATTATTAAGAGGATGTGTGTTGAAAAATACTGAATGGGTCATTGGTTTGGTGGTATTTACTGGTACTGATACTAAATTATCTTTAAATTCTGGTGAAACTCCATCAAAAAGAAGTAGAATTGAAAAAAAAATGAATCCTCAAGTGTACGTTTTTTAAATTTGATGGTTTTTTTTCCCCAATATATTATTCTTTTACTAATTATTTTTCATATTAAATTAATTAGTATTGCGAATTTATCCATATTAGCATTAATGTGTCTATTCTGTTCGATTGCAACTAGAATCTGGCAGTCGTATTTTACAGATGTACCATTTTTTGATTCTGTTGAGAATTCTATAGAAATTGATGCGTTTTTGACATTTTGGTAAACTCATTAACTAATTATTGTAATATATATATATATATATTATTATTATTATTATTATTATTATTATTATTATTATTATTATTATTATTATGGAAAGTATATTAATATAAAAAAATTTTTTTTGTGCCATGGAAATAATAGGAACGCCTTGATCACATTTCAAAACATTGTACCTATATCGTTGTATTTATCAATTGAATTTGTTAAAAGTGTTCAAGTATGTTGTTGTCGATATTATTCTTCTTGGTGATAATAATCATTATTATCGTCAAATTCATTAATATTTTTTTTTAAAAAAATTTTAGGCATATTTCATTTTTATGGATGATGAAATGAAATATGCTGAAACAAACACACCTTGTATACCAAAAAATTGGAATTTATCTGATGATTTAGGTGAAAAAAAATTATTTATTTGTTTGTTTTTTTTTTTTTAAAAAAAAAAAAGTTCGAAAATGCTTAATTAACATTTTTTAAAAAATAAATATAAAAAAGGTCAAGTTGAATATATATTTTCAGATAAAACTGGAACTTTGACGAGAAATGTTATGGAATTTCGTAAATGTTCTATTGGTGATAAAATATATCATGGTGATCCGCCTTTATTTTCTGAAAATGAAGAAGATAATAATTTAGTTGAAAGTTTATCATCAGGTCTTAAGAATAATAAGAATAGTAATAGTAATGATAATAATAGTAGTAATAAGAAGAAGAATAGTATTGAGTCAGAAATGCATTTAACATCATCAACAGCATCATCAAGCTCATCTAACAATAATGTTGATACTAACAATACTAATAACGAATTATCACTGGCAGTTAATCCAACTAAAAAACCACTTAAATTACCATTTGTTGATTCTGAACTCTCTAAAGATTTATCTGACAATGCTGACCCTGCTCGTGCAAAAGTGATAAATGATTTCTTTACACTGCTTGCTATATGTCACACAGTTTTAATTAGTACAGGTCCTGATGGTGAAATACAATACAAAGCACAATCTCCTGATGAAGCTGCTCTGGTTCAAGCTGCAAAAGACGTAGGATTCACATTTTGTTCTCGTGAACAAGAAAAAATAGTATTTACTAAACCCAACGGTGAAAAAGTTCAATATAAATTGCTGAATATTATCGAATTCACTAGTGCAAGGAAACGTATGAGTATCATAGTACAATGCCCAAAAACAAACAAGATTATATTGTTTAGCAAAGGTGCTGATAATGTTATTTTTGAAAGGTTGAAACTAGGTCAAGAATTTAGTTTAACTGCTGAGCATCTTGAAGAGTTTGCGAAAGAAGGTAGATATCCTATTTTATAATTATTATTACTAATGTGTGTAGTTAAATCTTAATTTTTGATTTTGCAATGTCTAGGTCTTAGAACATTGTGTTTAGGATATGCAGAAATTGATCCACAAGAATATCAAAATTGGGATATGGAATATAAAAAAGCTTCAACTGCACTTGAAAATCGTGAAAAGGAAGTTGCAAAAGTTGCTGATAAAATTGAAAGTAATTTGACATTGCTTGGTGCAACTGCCATTGAAGACAGATTGCAAGACGGTGTCCCAGAATGTATAGCTACATTGAAACGTGCCGGTATAAAGATTTGGGTTTTAACAGGTGATAAAATGGAAACAGCCATAAGTATTGGATTTTCGACATGTTTGTTGAGTAAAGATATGAACTTGATTATTATTAGAGGTGGTGCATATGGTGAAGAAAATAGTGCTTATCAACAGATGTGTAATGCTGTTGAAAAATTTTTTGATAATGATCAGGAACTTCAAGAAATTGTAAAGTCTAATCAGGTGCCACCTGTAACATCAGTCAATCCTAATCCCAGATCATCAGTCTCACATGCTCGTCAAATGAGTCTTACTGCTTCAATGCTCTCGGTAACATCCAATCAATCCAGAACAGGTGGTTATGCTCTGGTGATTGATGGTGTGGCGTTAACGCATGCTCTGAAGGAATCATTTAGTAAAAAGTTATTGTTGAATTTAGCTTGTCGTTGCAAAGGTGTTATTTGTTGTCGTGTCTCTCCTTTACAAAAAGCACAAGTTGTTGAATTAGTAAAAGAAGGTAAAAACGCAATGACTTGTGCAATTGGTGATGGTGCAAATGATGTCAGCATGATTCAGGTGATTATTTAATTTTTGTTCTTATTTTAATTTTTGTAAAAAAAAAAAAAAATTTTTTAAATTATTCTTTATATATATATATATATATA